AAATTAGTTTAGGCAAGTTGGTAATATGTTGTTTCAGCTAATCTATTTTTAAAAACTAGTAATCCAAAAGAAACATTAAATACCAAGATTTAAAATTGATTGCCTCTTCATACTTTTATATTTTTCCTTCCTGCCCAAAAGAAAAAAATTTCGAAAAATCGACGCGTCACTATGTGACCAGCGTCGTAGCACCGATCATGCTACCTTACAGCAGTTGCAGAGCGTTGCAGTTGCCGTTTTCAATCATAATTTTTGAAAAAATTCCAAAACAATCTAAATTTTGAATTTTAGGGTTAAAATTCATATCATTCATTGGAGAAATCCAAATTGTAGCTTTTAATCCTAAAATTCCAACTTGAAAAATTATAAATTTCAAAGTTTATGGAAAAAAATCATATTCCAAACTAAAAAATTCCAGAACTCAATATATGAATTTTAGCCACAAAATTCTTCCTTTAATCCCAGTGGTATAACATGGAATCAGCTCTGATACCATTTGCTGAATTTTTATAAAACTTTAGATTTTATAAAACTAGAAACTTTAGAACTTAAAAACCTAATTATTTTGTTGTCAAGATCCTCCAAGTCAAAACACCAAGAAAATTAATAATGCGGAACATATTTTAATTCATTGGAAATAATTCTTTATTACTGAATCTCAATTCCAAATGTTAAATCTTGAAAATCAACTTGAGATCCCTTCTTGATTGGTTTCTCACTTTCAATATTGAATTTTGCCTTATTGGATTCTTTGAATCTTGTTCTTGGTTTTGCTTCTTGATCCATAATCTTGATTATTGAATTCTTTTATCTTAATTCTTGATTGTTGGTATTGGATCTTCCTCTTCAATATGTTTTCTCCTGTATTCTTTTGTTTATGGGATGACCGAAAGAATGAGAAACTGCATATGAATTGGGGACCATAATCCTATATATATATTCCATATATATTTCGCTCATCATAAAATAAAACAATCTGGTTAAAAAGTTGTGAAACCCATGAAAGATATGGTTAATATTGATTGTTTGATTTTAACTTAGATTAAAATTAGATTTTAAATCGAACCAAACATGCTGTAAAAAAATTCAAAAAGCTCATGGTCTTACCCTGCTCAATTTGTCATGGAAAGGGCCCATAGGCCGATTTGAGTCGAGCTATATATATATATATATATATTTCATATGTATTTCGTCTAACGTGAAATATAATTCTAAAGAAACTTGGTTTCTATACATATAATTTGACCCACACTTTATTTAGATGCCTTAAGCTCAATTACTTAATTTTTCATTAGATCACTTTAATTTAGAACTTAACTTTAAAATAATCTTTATACACAATAATGACATATGTCAGCCTACTTGACCTTTATACACAATTAATGAAAGAGAAAATTACCTAGAACCTTACCTTTAAAGATTAATTTTCAAAAAACTAGGGAATTAATTTTCATTTCACAAATCAGGTGATAATTAATTTTTAACAACTGTAATTAATAAAAATTTAATTAAACCTAATCTACATATTCAAGCAACCTCCACCCCATTCCCAATTCAATCCCAACTCGCTTTCTTCCTCTTCTCTATGTGCCGCTACACAATACCCACCACCACCACCAAATCAATCTCTACTCCAACCAAAAATTTTCAAATGTATATTCAAGGGACGGGGACAATGGATGGACGGGTGGTGATGGATAGATTACTAAAGGTAATGGAGACCACTTCGGTGGTGGTGGAGGTGACTTCACGGGTGGTGACGAGAATATTGAAAGTGGTGGTAGTGGTGGTGGCGGCGGCTGTGAGTGATTGCATGGTGGAAATGAGCTGACGAGTGGTGGAGAGAAAATTGATTTTGGCGTTGGATTTGGTGATGAAGGAGATGGAACCACCGTAGTTTTATCAAATTTCTAGTGATGGGTGGTTTTTTATTAGATCTTTTGTTTAACCAGAGTTTTGGGTGGTTTTTTATCAGATCATTCTAGTGATTCTATTGTTAGTGGTCGTAACCGATTGTGACTTGGGATTAACCTGGTCAAAGAAAGTCACACTAAATAAAATTTTGGTTACAGTTAGTCACACAGAAGATAAAATTGGTCACGGTTAATCACAGGTCTGAAGTGTGTGCAAATTTGTTTGTGGTGATCTTATGCGATCAAGTATGTGTTTGTTGTGACTGTCTGTGATCAATTTTGTGTTGATTGTGATCAGTTGTGATTTAAGATTGACTTGGTCACAAACAGTCACACTGAATACAAATTTGGACACATTTACTCACATCGAAAACAAAGTCGGCCACAGACATCGGAGTGGTCATTGGAGCTGTTTGCAGGAGGGATGGTCAAACAGCTGCCGGAGCAGCGTCGAAGTGATCGCCGGAACAGTCGTCGGAGTGCCTCTGAGTGATCATTGGAACGGTCGCTGGAGGGATCACTGGAGACGGTGCTGGAGCAGCGTCGGAGTGATAGTCGGAACAATCGTCGGAGCGCCCGGAGTGATCATTGGAACGGTAGCCGGAGTGATCACCGGAGCCAATGGCCGTCTCTGGTGGGGAGGTGGAGAAAAGTTGGTGTACTGAAGTGATAGGATTGGTTGGCATTGGTGGAAATAATTAATTTATATTATATTATATTTTAATATTTAATAAATTTATTTACCACCTGATTTTTGAAATATTTTAATGAGTTTATTATTTATGAAATGTGATCTTTTAAATTAGGAGTTATGTTAAGAACCCATAATGAAATATTTCAGTCCACTAGACAAATTAAATAATTTTCCAACAGGTCCATTTTAGGAGAGAGTGCTCATGAAGAGTCAATAGACATAACTAATCATTAAATTCCACGGGAAATTCAAGTATCTAAAATTAGTATAAAAGAATAAAACTCAACTGACGAATGTCGATGTAAAAATAATTAGCTGAATTGGAAAGATGCAACACAAGTAGCATAAACTCATTAGAAAAACGTAAAGTTTTTTTACTCTATACAAACACATGAAGGGATAAGGTAAATAGGGTACACATGGGTGTTTGTGCGAAAACCAAATAGGAAAATTAAAGTCGTGAGATACAAGGTGCGACTAGTAGCATAAGGTTTTAACAAAGTCCTGACATTGATTATGAAAAGGGATATTTTGCTGGTCAAGTTGAGCGTTAGCTGAAGGATTTCTTGTTCATGATCAACTTGTACAAAAAGGATGTTAAACGATTTTATATAGATAAACCACATCGATTGAGTATCCCTATGGTTGTTTGCTCACTTGATACCCAAAAAAATCCTTTTAGGCTTTGAGAAGATAACGAAGAACTTCTTGGTCATGAAGTGTTGTATCTTAATGCAATAGGTGGAATATACGATACAATATAGCATTCTCAATAAAAATAAAAAATAAAAAATAAATAAAAAATAAAAATTAGTAAGATGACTCCTTCACGAAGACATTGGAGGTAGAGGAACATGTATTTTGTCATCCTCGGGGAATAATTTATGTGCTTACTTTACGTTAATAAATCTAAATCAGAACTAGTTTATATGACCCAAATAAAGTTAGGTCTCAAATAGATTATCTACTCACATGTTGCGGCACTGCTATATCATGGCAATCTACAAAATAGACATTAACGAAGACTTCTTCAAATCATGCTAAACTACTTGCAATTCATGAGGCAAGTCGAGAATGTGTACAGTTGAGATCAAGAAACCTACATAGTCGAGAAACGTGCTGACTATCTTCTAATAAGGAAAAATAACAATACTACATGAAGATAATATTTCACGCATAGTTCAACTAAAGGGAGGATTCATTAAAGGTGTCAGAACAAAACGTATTCACCAAAAATCTTTTTCACCCATGATCTTGATGTTCAATAGATTCGTTCGAAAGATAATCTCACAGATTTATTAACAAAGGCATTACATACTACACATTTGAGAAGTTGGTTAGTAATATTGGAATGCAACATATCAAAGTTCTAATGTAATATATCATAAGGGGGAAGCAAATATGCATTGCACTCATTTTTCCTTGACCGAGATTTTGTTACAACTAAATAGCTCTATACTGCGTGTTAATAAGAATAATGTACTATCTTTCTTTATTAGGATTTTCCCATCGGATCTAGTCTAATAAGATTTTAATAAGTCATATTATTTGAAAATAGAAATCCAAAGGAGTGTTATAAATTATATGAATAGTGATTTCTATAGTCCAGTTATGTTTAATTAAATAGGATTCAAATGTAAAGTATTGCAAATTTTGAATTTAGTGGCACCAACTCCATGACTTTAATTCTCTTATTGTCCTATACAAAGAAATACACTAGTCTCTTCTCTTCTGTGTGCAGACGATGTCAAAGCCATTTAAACCTAAGACTAGAGCCTATCAATCCAACTTAATGCAAGCATAACATGAGAAATAAATCTTTTCTATTTCTAAAACCATGACAACAGGACATGTTCATAAATCTGGAAAAAGAATTGACAAATGATGAAACAGCATAGTAAAATTTCCAGAATAAATGCTACAAACCAAAAGTAAGCAATCTGAATCATATTTGATAAAATGAGAGACCGTTTTGATAAGGGGAAAACACTACTTAAGTCAGTAGGTTGGCTGTAACCACATTTCTCTTTTTCTCGAAGACAAATCCACCAGAAATTATGTAACTCCAGTTCAAGAAATGAAATAGTCGAGAACCCCGAGTAACTGGTTGAGCTGCTGTAGTAGCTAAAGTAGTGATGAATTCCATCAGTAAAATAGGTAGTACAGAAAGACCATCCAGATAGGCAAATGTAACTTCATAATCTTTAAGGACATAAAAACCAAAATACTATAGTGCATAACATCGTAGTAGATGTGTTATCTATCTGCATATCACAAGGCATTAACAGCTCACATACTGAAACATAATTCTGAATTGCAAATCGGTTGTGATCCAAATAGTGTTTTGTCAAACAACAGCACAAAGCCAGGAATCAAGGCAATATCTTGTGACAACAATGAAATCCCACATTTCTTTTCTAGCTAACTCAGTTTACAAAGTGTAAAATTTAGAGTATGTACTCATCAAGTGAAAACTACACATTTACATCAGACAGTAAAAAAGAACTCTTGAAGCTTCTTTCAGTTTCCTAGACTAGAACCCCCAAGTACCTTGACAGGTACAGAAACTGTACCCTTGCTCAATTTATATTGAATAGCGAAGTGATGAATTGCGTCTTGAAATCTTGTAAATGCGACTAGGAATTCCGCAGCATCAGTCTTGCTCAATACCTTCTTTACAACCAATTCCACTGTCTTCAACCTATTTTACATCCAATGGCTGAGTAATTAGCCACTGTTTGCCTCCCTTTTAAGACATTTCTTTAATTCTCATACTCATTTTTAACCCCACATTCACGTAATAAAATATTTTGTACGTAAACCCAAAATATTTCCGTACTTTTTAACTATAGATTCTCCGAAAATCACTATTCAAACAGGGGCTTTATATAAGACAAATATTTGATATTATAAGATAAAAGTGGTATATCATAAGACACATCTTTGTCCTTTGGCTAAGATCAAAGTTGTAATATCATAAGGAGGGTAACAAGCACCTGAGATTTTGGGCCTTAGTGACAACCCGGTGGATTTTCTTGAATTCTGACTGCATACGAGCCAAGGGAGGACCACTGCCCTCAACCCTCAGTGGACTGAAAGGGAGGTGTAACACACAAGTTGCTTGAATTTCAGCCATTTCTTCATCTATCACTGCCTCCTGGATACGCACATCATTGATCAGCTGCAATAAGACCTGCTCAAGTCCAGCAGAGTCCGAAGAGGATTGTATTAATGAGCGGGATAACTCAAGAATCATCGTAGGCCGCCAATCACCAAGCCAGGATGTTGCAGCTAGTTCGTGGGCCGAGGCCTCCTTGGGCATGAGAAGTTGGGTCACATCCTTCATTGTAGTCGGGACTCTGATATAAATGGCCCGGAAATGACTCAGCTGTTCATCAATCAACTGTTCAATGGACCATCTTGCTTTGAGCTGTTTTTCTAGCCTTGCTGCTCTAGTCCTCATCTCTTGCCTGTGTAACCCATGGTTCTCCCAAGAAAACTCTTCACCTATTAAACACTAATTGTTAAAATCTATCCACCCCACAAAAATAAATTTTTTGCAATGAACACAATTTATATTGAGTCTAAAACACTTCCAAAAATATAAATTGACCCTTAAACTCAAGAACCCATGTCCTTAGTTTCTCAATAGAACCCAAGAAACAAGAATTTTCAGAATATAAAAACCAAAAAATCGACATATTCGAATGTTTTAACAGGATAAAAAAGAAGAAGAAAAACACTGTCAATTAAATAATTCATAAAAAATGAATAATCTACATGGTCTTTTGCCTTTTCGTTTGTAGATTGTCATGCAAGTGACTTGCTGGGTAATGTCGTCAATTCTATCTCCAATTCGTTGTTGGGTCTTGCGTTCATCTTTGAGTTTAATTTTTTTGCTTTCGTTCCTGGCTTGTTCTTCCCGATCAGATTCTTGAAAACGTTGTCTGCAGAATCATTGATTCACTCGGCTGATTAGAAAAGGATATTCAAAACATTGCAAATTGAAATAAGAAAATATAAAAACTACATTAGGGTTTGAGAAGAAGCCCTCCTCATTTTTCTTGCTCTTCTTCAGCTTAATTTTGAATTCAATCTTCAACAATTTTCTGTTGCGTTCCGATAGCCGTCCATGGTATTTCTAATTTTATAAAATAGATTGTTATTTACAAATAATTACTGTTTGTTCTAGATACGTTTGCAAGTGCACCGTCACGGTAAAGTTTGAAAAATAAGCTTCGGTTTGACAATTTTATAAATGATTTATAATAAAAATAGTATTAAAAATAGTAAATTTCACATATAAATAATTATAAATAGTAATTATGAATGTTTGGTTAAAATTAATATTTAGAGAGATGCTAGTTGTACATAAAGATTGGTTCATCATGGTATCCTCCATCTCATATGGGGTGGGGGCCCACTTGAAAAAAATATTCGGGTGAAACCCATTGCATATGAGATGGAGGATACCTTTATGAACCAATTTTTATGTACAACTATCTTTATCCTAACATTTATATAAATTCATATACAAAAGAAGATATCACCACACTGCAACAATCAAATTATTTATAAATCTTTAACATCCACAAAAAATAAAAAGTAAATTTAGATCTTTCTATTAAAACAGAATTTGGATTTAAACAATTGGATATAAATGAGGATGCAAAAATGACATTGAAGATATCAATTTAAATTCAATTTTACACTTTCATTAAAGATGCTCCAATATATAAGCCACTTGGCTTTACAAATTTCCTACCGAAATATTAAGATGTATGGCCAAAATGATCAACTTATGGCCTCCCTTATGTTAAAGTTTATTTTTCTCTTTCTTTTATTTTCAATCAATCAATCTTTCATAAAATAATATCATACGTAAATTGAAAAATTTCCCATCATTTTTAACCACTCATTTTTCCCCAAAAAAAAAAAAAGAAAAAGGCACTATTTCAACCATTAAATTTTGAAATAATGGTGGCAAAACCAGTGCTATATTTCATTTTAATCATCTAAATTTGTACCATTTCAATTTGATTGCCAAAGTGACATTATCATCTTCTTCTCCACTACTTAAATTAATGAAAATCCTATGTGAATAGCATAAAAATGTTATGTTATAGCATGCGTGTAAGCTAGAAGAAAATATTATTATATGAGTCTTTTACCCTATACCCAATCGATTTAAGTTGTAAACATTTTTAATATGTTTAATGTATTTATTTTGGCAAGATTGATTATTTATTTCAATTGCTATTCTAATAACTAATATTAAATAATAAAGTTCGTAAATTTAAATCTTAGTGATTTGTTAATCACATAGAATTGTTATTATGAAATACAAATTACAACATGACTGAATTTTAAATCATTCGTGGTTGTAAGTAATAACAATATGCGAATATTGTTATTGTGAATAGATCATCATGTGTAACATTTCTTATTTGTGAAGTATGTTAATCTCACAAGTTAAAATGTAATGATACTTAAATGAACACGTGAATATTTTGTTATAGAATAAAATATTGAAGACTCATTAGGAAGATTCCACATGGACAACTATCTGAGTGTCAATGGTTAATTTCTAACNTTATAAATAGTAATTATGAATGTTTGGTTAAAATTAATATTTAGAGAGATGCTAGTTGTACATAAAGATTGGTTCATCATGGTGTCCTCCATCTCATATGGGGTGGGGGCCCACTTGAAAAAAATATTCGGGTGAAACCCATTGCATGTGAGATGGAGGATACCTTTATGAACCAATTTTTATGTACAACTATCTTTATCCTAACATTTATATAAATTCATATACAAAAGAAGATATCACCACACTGCAACAATCAAATTATTTATAAATCTTTTACATCCACAAAAAATAAAAAGTAAATTTAGATCTTTCTATTAAAACAGAATTTGGATTTAAACAATTGGATATAAATGAGGATGCAAAAATGACATTGAAGATATCAATTTAAATTCAATTTTACACTTTCATTAAAGATGCTCCAATATATAAGCCACTTGGCTTTACAAATTTCCTACCGAAATATTAAGATGTGTGGCCAAAATGATCAACTTATGGCCTCCCTTATGTTAAAGTTTATTTTTCTCTTTCTTTTATTTTCAATCAATCAATCTTTCATAAAATAATATTATACGTAAATTGAAAAATTTCCCATCATTTTTAACCACTCATTTTTCCCCAAAAAAAAAAAAAGAAAAAGGCACTATTTCAACCATTAAATTTTGAAATAATGGTGGCAAAACCAGTGCTATATTTCATTTTAATCATCTAAATTTGTACCATTTCAATTTGATTGCCAAAGTGACATTATCATCTTCTTCTCCACTACTTAAATTAATGAAAATCCTATGTGAATAGCATAAAAATGTTATGTTATAGCATGCGTGTAAGCTAGAAGAAAATATTATTATATGAGTCTTTTACCCTATACCCAATCGATTTAAGTTGTAAACATTTTTAATATGTTTAATGTATTTATTTTGGCAAAATTGATTATTTATTTCAATTGCTATTCTAATAACTTATATTAAATAATAAAGTTCGTAAATTTAAATCTTAGTGATTTGTTAATCACATAGAATTGTTATTATGAAATACAAATTACAACATGACTGAATTTTAAATCATTCGTGGTTATAAGTAATAACAATATGCGAATATTGTTATTGTGAATAGATCATCATGTGTAACATTTCTTATTTGTGAAGTATGTTAATCTCACAAATTAAAATGTAATGATACTTAAATGAACACGTGAATATTTGTTATAGAATAAAATATTGAAGACTCATTAGGAAGATTCCACATGGACAACTATCTGAGTGTCAATGGTTAATTTCTAACGTTCAGTAGTGGAATTGGTCATTTAACTTAAGATTATCATAATGCATTATACGAGGACAATCATACTTTGGTAATGTTGAATTTTTCTTTGCCAAGGGTCACTAATATGGCATCATTCGGGTATGTCAAGAATCATATGAATATTGTGAAATGATCAATAAAGGATTCATTACTTTTAGATAGTAAGAAATTATGATCTACATTTTATTAAGTTAAGTGATAATGAAATCATTGGTCAATGTGTATATGTTGATTTAATAGTGGAATAAAATATATGATCAATAACTGAGATTAACACATATCCATATCTCGCAATGGATCGGATCATATTGATGAAAGAATTATAGTTTTCACTGTAAACGAACCAGTTTGATTTTGTCATATCCCATGACATTTCTCGTTACATATATTACCCTGAAAAATTACTTGATGTCAATTTAAGACGATAGATGTGAATTGGTGCTAAATTAAAGGGGTGAAATTTTAATTTATTGATTTTGATTAGATCAAAATTGTAGTTCACTCGTTAAGTATTGTGATAAGGAACCTAATGGATCACACACAAATGGAGAATTAGAAGAATGAGATTTACCAATTAATTAATTATCCAGGTTGCTTGTTAATAAGCCCAAATTAATTAATTCATGAATCAAATTTAGTTAATTGGATATATTAAATATTGGATCGGATTAAATTTAAGAGCACGTCAAGTCCGCTTGGACTTGTATAAATAGGTTGCTAGGTTTTAAAAATTCTGTAAAGAAAATACAATTCATATTCATGCTAGCACAAAAAATAAATAAATTAAAACAAAAAAAAAACCTAGTTCTCTCAATTTTGTTCTTCGTGTGGATTTTCATTGAAGTTTGTATTATTAGACAGTTGTGGATGGTAGCTCGGAAGTGTTTTTCAAGAATTCATCAAATGTATAATTTTGTATCACAATTTCTCTCCAAAAAAAAATAAATAAATAAATAAATATTGGTGGGAATTGAAAATTTTTATTAGGGCCGTACATGTTATGTAAATTGCCAACATATCGGTCATTCAAGTTCATTTTGTTTTAACTTGGTCATTAAAGTTGAGTGTTTGTATCAATTAAGTCCGCATGTTAGTAAATGTTAGTTGATACTTGAAATTAGTGAGAAAATATGGACCATGACACAACTTATATGACTAGTTTTTACTGTCGAAGTGTAATGTTGGCTCTCCACATAAGCAAATCAAAATTTAAACTCGTAAAATGCACTTAGACAATGCAATTTAATTATAAAAATAAAAAATAAAAAATAAAATAAAAAAAAGAAGACAAGGCTTTTGAAGAGCTAAAAATTCATTCTTATACTAAAAAACCAATCCAATTCTTATATAGTTATATTTCAGACAAATAAAACTTCCCAACATGTTTTTAAAGTTACTCTTAGTGTGATAATTCTTCTAGTTATTCTCTATTCTAAGATAAACTGAGTTCACTGAATAAGTTGTCGTCAAGGGTAAAAAGCTAAAAGGAATTCATGTAAAAGAGATAATAATGTGGTGAAAAAACAGATTTCTAAATATGCAGCATAGTTCCATTTAGCAAGAAGATGAACAATCTTCACTTCCTCATATTCACTATGTCAAATAATCGAAAATGCATACAAGTTCTACCTTCGAAACTGCAACCACAAGATGCTAAAATACGTGAGCAACTATTCTTCCACGCTAAAACGAGCTACCTCGACCAATTTGTTGCTTATTTCCAAAGCATAATCATCTATATCAATGTGTATCCTCTACTTCTTCTCAAACCATGCTGTTTCGAACATGATACCCAGCGTTTGAAAAAGTGGCCTAAACTGAATTTTTCTCGAGGAAAGACCGAGTCTTGTTCATAGTTGAAGTACTTCAGGTTACTTTCTTGTTCCTCAATGCCAACATGATCATCAGCTCTTGCATCACAAGCATTTGATCTGTCAACAAATGCTTTTGCCTTCATTTTAATCATAAAAGATTATAAGCAAGAGAAAAGCTTATACTTCAGTGTTCATAGTACATGAGTTTTACTTACAGTGAGTGCTGTTCGGATACAACAAAGTGATTTTCAGATTGCTGCCGAGCAGGTTTGTGGTCAATCCTCATATGCCGGCTAAAACGAAGCTGTATTGTCAAAAAACAGCGAGCATATAATGAAATCCTAAAAATAACTGAGAAATTAGGATAAATTAATGTGTTTTGCGTTTTCACAAGGAGATTACTAAGGATAAACTGATATACATATCAGTAACCAAATTTAACCGGCATATAGATTACGCAGCCATTGACTTATCCTCAGTTAGCAGCAGGACTCGCTGTAGTAGTCTCATTGCAAAGTTTATTAATAGTGATTTATGCATATTCCGTACAACTCGGGAGATTAACGAGCAAAAATTCAGCCACAATGTAATCAACACGAAAGAAAAAATGGTGGTGATGTTCTATGTGCTTTTTTTTTTTTTGCTCACTACATTCAGCCCACAAATATGCATCTTGCTTATGCCTTCTTAAGTCATCTTTCTCTTGTAGAAGTGATAAAAAATGGTGGGGCTCACCGTTGAGAGAAAGATGATACTTATATAGGGACATAACCCGCTTCTCCATGCCAAAACTACATTTTGTTTGTTTTATATTTGGGACTTGTTTATAAACGGCTTAAATTATTAACAAATAGAAATGAGTAGTGGATAAGTAGGCAGCACTTGTGGCTCCCACAAAATGTGGATAAAGATTTGACCTATAAACAGTTTATAAATAATAGTCAAACAAGGCTAAGAACCGACCCTAAATGCCAAAGCAGGAAAAAAAAATGGAAGTTGGTCATCTTAGATCTCACTTCCATCTTGAATTAGATGAGAGAATACTAGGAAAATGAAACTAACCTCATCACCATCTTTGATCCCATAACTTTGAAGGCAAGCTTTGTCATTGATTAGCTTCTGACCCTCGTAGCACAAACAGAAGTGGCTCCATATAAGTGACCTATTCATTCAATTGAATTCCCTTTAAAATCTTACCCTTAAGTTTATTTTTGGCTTTGTCTTCAATGGGATCACACTTAAGAATATATAAGTGGTTTAGAGTTCCATATCTCTACAATTTAAAGGCAACTTTAAATTATCTTTAAAGGATCCAAAGTTGGGGTACATTTGGCCCATCAACCGTGTCAATACACTAAAGACACGTTTGGTAGAATGGAAATAGAACATAATATAAAACTCACATTATTATGCATCAAAAAGATTGTTCAGCCTAAAATAATTTTTCCAAAATGTTGCATATTTGAGTATTTTGATGACCTAAACTTTCCAAAAACATTTAATCTAATATACTATTTTGTACATAGATATATTTTTTCTTGGGTTAAAAATCTCAATTGCCTGTGTACTTTTTCGAACAGTCATCATACTTTCAAAGTTGTTTCCACTTGTCAATTCGCTTCCTTTGTTTTAAAAATTAACGATTTCAATGATGTGGTAAATAGTACCGTTAATTTTGAACCACATTGAAAACAGTGCGACTGGTTGCAGTTTTTCAAGTGGAGCTACAAATAAGAGGAATAAATACCTGCAGGAAGATCTATAGGCAAAGAAAGTGAGTAACTACTAACTTGTCTTGGGCTTACAATTTGACTAGGCTTTCTTTAATGATTTTTCGAGCACCACCGGTGCTAGAGCACGAGTTTAGGTGATCTGCAAGTGATTCGATGTCTTAAATGAAATTTATTTTTCTACTTTTAAGGTGTGCAATCAATCAAAATACTTGTACGTCACATAAACAGGTCCTAAATAGCATTACTCAAAACAAAAATTTATGTACATTCTCATACCATAAAATATTGCCTTCATCCTCTGGTAAATCACCATAAACTGCCTCCACAGCAAATTCCAGACTACCCACAGTAGCATTCCTTGATACATGAACATCTGGAAAAATACCATAACATCACAATCTGATTAAATAAGCAAAAACACCAAAATAATAACTTATAGAGACAAGAAAAGCTTAAAAAGTTATGGGTCAGATTAATTTACTAAAAGAAGAGCCATCCAATTTGAGAATAGAAATCTGGAGTAGCTGGCCAGGAAGCTTTTTGTACGACAGACTCCCAAGAGTACACCCATTGTGATGGTGCTGTGAAAATGAGGCCATTATTCTGGAAAAACGTTTCTGTATAAATTTCAGCATTATTATCTTACCCATTTTCATCTTTTGTGAAGAATGAATGGATTTAGAAAATGAAGAGTTCTGGGGCGAATTGGCTGGGCGAAATATGGTTTAAATAGAATTTTATTTAATTTTTTTTAAGGGGATGACCGTTATATATTATGGAGTACCGTGAATGTTTGCTGGGGAGTGCGGAGTAGGCCTTAGACCTTTTGTGTTTTTCTTCTTACTTTTATTGAGGAACGAAATATTTATTTAATTGTTTTAGAACAAAAATATCTAACTTTTCAACTTTTGTTGAGGAATGAAACATTACTTTTATTTTTGCTTCCTATAAAAAAAATAATTTAAGAATGATAACTTAATTTTTGTTAGGAAATTAGTTTCAAAAGAAAAAAAAAATTATTTCTAAAGTGATTTTAAAGAAAATCATATTGAACCAATTTCTTTTAATAACCCTTTTAATTAAAAGAATCACTTTTATACAATTAGCCAAATGGTTTCAAAAACTCCTTTTAGTTTCTCAAAAATTACGCCAAACTAGATATAGCAATTTACCTCACCCCGACGAGTTGATGGGGCGGGTTTGGGGCAGAACCCACCACGTGAATATTTGGATATTGTTTTTTCGAGTATTTCTTTGAATATTGATGTTAATTTGAGCATCATTTGTTTAGAATTTTTAAATTTTGAATTTGTATTTTATAATTTAATAGTATAATTCGAAATTTTGAAAATGTGTAAAAAAAAATTAAATTAAATGGGGCAGTAAATTGAGCAAAAAACTGCCCCATCCTCGCCCCGACCCGTTGCCATCACTACGCCAAACAGGCTCTTAACAATGTATTGTTGGAGGTTAATAACATATTTAAATCTATAATTTTGAAATTTCATATGTATGAAATCGTTGATAAGAATGATAAAATATCACTAAACTGAAAATTAGAAAGAAAAATCATCAAATCACTTAACATTTCTCTTCAATTCAAGTGAAAGACGTTTACGATTTTACAACCACATTATCAATTTCGATCACATGAAAACCCAAATTTAAGAATTTCAAATAGGTTGGGATTCAAAAATTCGCTATCATCACACAAGGTAAAATGTTGAAGAGTCCTCAATTAACTTTTTGCGTTTATTATTACGTAGCAGATTTATGTTTTAATTTGGTAAATTAATCCCTTGTTTGGACTCAATTAAAATGTAATTTTAGAAAAAAAAAATGAATTTTAGTATAGTAATTTTTGGGAGAATATATAATTAAATAATAACGAAAAAATTTCGATTTACATGTAAAATTATTTTATGAAAGAATGTGTGAATGAAAATAAATTTTGAAAAAAAAAAGGGAATTTTTGAGATAATGAGACAACAATTAACAAAGACTAATATTGTATTTTTATTTTTTTTTTCAAATATTGTTATTAATAAATTTTAAGGAAAATCTAAAAAAGATATTGAAATTCAATTTCGATATTATCATTTTGAAAAAACTATCTCATAATAGTTTGGTTTGTTAGAAAGAATAAATGTCTTATGTCTAAAGTAACAATGATAAGTAATCTTTATTACGTGCAAACAAATTGTGAATGATGAAAACGTTGAAATCAGAATCCGTAAAACAAGTGGAAAAGCGGGAACATAATTTTTGTAATTGAAGTGAAATGATTTTTTTTTTTTTTTTTTTTGGAGAGTGGTTAAAAATAGGAAAAAATTATGAAAATTTTGAAGGGGAAAAAAATCAAGTACTCGTATAGTGCAAACTTATTTCCGTTTGTTTGTTTTAGTCATTTGAATTTAGAATGGTAATTAGCACGAAACGTCCTTATCATTCATTTTTTGGTACTTTTACTTAGAGCTGGACAAATCTCCAGAACTGAACCGACCGAACCGAACCTGACGGTTCTGGTCAAATTAAATACCCGAACGGGTATAAAGTAATAAGTCCAAATAAATTATTAAAGGGCAATTAGCACAAAACATCCATACCTTTCATTTTTTGACATTTTCATCTTTATTTTTATATTTCATAGTAAAATTATTATTTTCATTCATTTTTCTCAATTAAAAGTTGTAAAATGATAAATATATCTTCCTCTTTAAGTAAAATGTGTAATTTAAGATATTGGAATTATAAAATTATTCAAAGCCTTTGACCTTTGTGGATCTTGAACTGCATTATCTCTAACTGATAAAGACGTGCCCTTGAATCTTGTGTGGCATTTTCAACTAGCATTTTGGAATATCAGTAAATCTCCTGGTACGTTTAGCATAAATTGTGGGACCAAGTTGCTTATTCATTCCACTCTGTTGCTAATTACCTTTTTTAATAATTTTATGGACTCATTTGTATTTATTTAAAAAAGTTTGGGAGTATGTTGCAATTCATTCTTTAACTTTTCTTTTCTTTTTTATGGTTTTATTTAAATATGGGGTATATTTGTCATTTTACCCGAAAAATTTGATGAAAATGATTATTTTCGCAATAAAATGTAAAAGTAAGGATAAAAGTGCAAAAAAAAAAAATGGAAAATATAGATGTTTTGCACAATAATATTGATATATAAGAACGTTTTATGCTAATTACTTTTTAAATTTATAACTTCAACTATATAGTAGGTAGGGGTGGCAATGGGACAAGTCAGCTCCCATGAGTCGAGCCAAGCCCACGAGCTCAATTTTTTATTTTTTTTCAAAATTTATTTTGACTTTTTTGTTCCTTTTTTTACAAGCCCGTGAGCCTTTCACTCGGCTTGGGCTCGTCCAAATATAAACTCGAGCCGCTCACGAGCTACATTTTTACAAGTCGCTCAGCTCGATTGCCACTCCTAATAGTAGGTGAGTGGATACCTTTTGGATTTGAGAATAAACTAATTTTAACTTATAAAAATTATGAGAAAAAAATGTCAATTAAAACTGTGTTTCTGGAAATCAAGATACTTTTTTAATATATTTTAATAAAAGTTGACGAATGTGTTGTTAAATTAATTGTTAACTTTAATTTAAATAAAAATTGATTTTAATCTAAAATAAACATAGGCTAAATATTGACAATGACTCGGGATTTTTGTGTGTGTGCATAGATATAGTACGAAATTTATAAACTACCCTCAAAAACTTTATTGTTCAGGTACTGACGATGAAGCCAGCCCTAGTTGACGCTTTGTTAAAGCTGGTGTAGTTTATTTATAATTGCCAAAATACAGTCCTATTTGATAGCAGTTATTTATTCAAAACAATATTTTGAATTGTGAATTTTTGGAGAATTTATGATTAAAAAGTAAAGAAATTTTTGAGTTTATATGTAGAATATTTTATTGTGTGTATGTAGAATAAAAAGTTTTGAAATAATTGTTGTGGAAGACAATGTTCAATGTCGAACTCTCGAATAATTAGTTTAGCAAAAATAAATGGAAAATTCTACTTGTACATAATTATTGCACATAACGGTGTCCATAATATGATGTGACAATCATTCAGTTGTTGATGTGCAAGTGTGAAATTTGAATTAGATGTTGAATACAGTGCCACGTATAATTATGGATATCATTATGTAGATAATTATGTACATGTAGCACTTCCCTTTTTAGTTTTCTTTTTGAAATTTTCAATAAATGTCCTCATTGGAATCTTTTAGGGTAACTTCACAAGATAAAAGCTTTTTTTCCCCCTTTTATGTAATGATTAGTGCAATGTCACTCATTAAACATTTATTCTTAAAAATCGGCCACTAACTTAAAATTTTCACCTTATTTTCAACTTATTGACATTGGACAAATCACACAAAAATTTAGTATATATAAAATCCACATTTATCTTAATATCTTCATACAACAGCTCAATCACTCCCAAACTATCATATAATTGATTTAAGGTCATGAAATTTAGTGTTTGTTTGAATTTAACATCTAAAGTCCACTATATTTTTGTAACATATTCCAAATTTGAATCAAACTAATCATTTATGATGCAAAGCATATATCTTGTGCACAAAAATATGAAGTTTTACATGAATAAGCATAAATCAACCATGTTACTTTTTTATAATTTATAGCTTAACACATGGTTTCAAATAGGGTAATTAGCACAAAACATCCCTACCTTTCGATATTTTTGTGGAAAACGTCCCTACCTTTCATTTTTTGGCGGATTACACCCTCACCTTTACTTTTTTTTGCGCAAAACGTCCTTCTGTCAACTTTTCATTAAAATACTCCGTTAAATCAAAAGGTAATTAGCACAAAAGGTCCCTACCTTTCAAAGTTATTGTACAAAACGTCCCCACCTTTTATTTTTTAACATAATTAGCACAAAAGGTCCCTACTTTTCAATATTATTGTGCAAAACGCCCCTACATTTCATATTTAGCATTTTCACCCTTACATTTCACCTTTCATTGCCCAGAAGGTCATTTTCATCTATTTTTTTCAATAAAATGACGATTTTACCCTCCTATTGAAATAAAACAAAAAGAAAAAAAATAATTAATTAATTGCAATCATAGTTTTAAATCTTTCAAAACATGACAGATAAATCCTAAATTTTTCACTACCACCATTTTCACAACCCCACCAAGCCACCGCCTATAAATCCATATAGCACCACTTTTCGATCACAACTCCTATCGGACTCCACCACCACCAGCCTCGCCTCACTCTCTCCAATATCCTCCTCCATAGTATTGGTCACCAATCTGTCCGAAACAACCATATTTACGATGGTGGAGTCGGTGGGCATGGTGGCCGAAAGGTGGTGTTATGTGGATTTATAGTTGGCAGCTTGATAAGTTGTGAAAGTGGTGGTGGTTGAGAATTTATGATTTCTTTGTAATTTTTTAAAAATTTAAGGACCATTGTTGCAATTGGTAATTCATCTTTTCTTTTTGTTTTATTTGAATAGGAGTGTAAAATCGTCATTTTATTGAAAAAATGGATGAGAAGGACATTTTTTGCAACGAAAGGTGAAAGGTAGGGGTGAAAATGCTAAAAAATGAAAGTTATGGACGTTTTTCACAATAACATTGAAAGGTAGGGACCTTTTGTGCTAATTATGCCAAAAATGAAATGTACGGACGTTTTGCACAATAATATTGAAAGGTAGGGACCTTTTGTGCTAATTACCTTTTGATTTAACGGAACATTTTAACGGGAAGTTGACAGAAGGATGTT